TTATAGTGACTATCACTACAAGAACAAATCATGCATAAATCTGATAAATTCTTTTATGTTTTTAACCCTTTCACTTCCACTTTCATTAAAAAAATACCATTGTAGTAGATTGTATGTTTTCTTTGTTTATTTTAAGTAAATTAAAATATTTTCATAGTATTTTTTATTACTCCAAGACATAACGTCCCTGTTCAGGGACATCACAAAAACAAAAATTTACTATTAAAATATTTTTTTTATAAAATTAATCCTTAAAAGTAATGCAAATAAAGTAAATAAACCAAAAAGAAAAATTTCTACCAAAATTAACAGATGTATACTTCAGGGTTAATTAAGACAGTGTCCCTCTGGAGGGACAAATACACTGAAAGTGTTAAATATTTTCAAATTTTCATGAGTGTTTCATCACCTTTAACTTTGATAACGGCAATAATTCATTAAAACATTGTATTTACAAGTTCTTGAAAATCTTGTGCAGGGAACCTTTCTAGATTACCCATTTACTTTAATTCTGGCAGTGATCTTGTGGGTGCTGCACGCCTCTGCTTAAAAATTATCACCCCATTTACAAAAAAGCATCTTTATTAAATGAACAAGAAACTAAAAAAAAAAATAAGCATAATTAAAAACTACAAAAAGTGCATCATTTGAAAATCCATATTCAAGCTCCAGATTTGTAAAATAAAAAAAATTCCAAATACACATTTAACTTGTTCGATTATTTATTGAATAAAAGGTCTGTTCCAACAACGATCAGAAACAAATCACTGGGTAGTACACAATTTTGCTGTCTCAATAAACTACTGTGCAGAATCCTGATGTCAGTAACTCATTTCTGAGCATTGTTGGAACAAACCTAAAGTAAATCGAAACCACTTAAAAACAAGTACAACATTTATACTCGAGCACAATTTTTAATTCCTATAAAAATTTTTAATTACTGAATATTTTGTTCTAGTTATATTAAAATTCAAAAGTTCTTACTCTTCATTATAATTATGTTTTTTATTTTCCCTATATACCTACATACTATCTAACATGTTACAAATTTGATGCCTAATTAAAGATTTCATCTAGCATTGCAGAACGTGAAACGTTTTTCACATTTGTATAAATCTTCTACATCTGTCATATTGTCACGAGCCTATTTGTCGTGATTGAGTCACTTTAAATAATGACTCTATGTGCTACCTGACTTGGAGAAATAAAAGATTACGAGAACAATTAACAATTTTATTCATCAATAAATAATCAATATTCAATATTCAACATGTAAAATAGATAATTATAATATACAATATAAAAGGCCTTACCAAAACATCCCCGTTAGTGGCACGTCACGACGCTTACCCCAAAACTAAAAGATATCTATTACTTTAGATACCTCTCAGTACAGCAAATGGAGAACTGTCCTCGTAACATTAATCAGTGTCGAATTTATACCTATCAACTATTTGCTGAATTTGCTATTTCTTTAATTCGACACAATTAATGCAGGTCGGTAAGAGTTCAACGTCTATGTTTTTGTTATCAAATGTATACAATATTATTTACTTAAGGATATATTTACATTTAAGAGATTATTGAGATTTTCTATTAACGATGATTATTTTTATTCTAGGATTTATTTAAAAGTATAATAATTTATTTTAATGAATTTTAATAATGATTTTTTAATATTTTACTGGACGTGACAATATTAGGATAACAAGATTGTATCTAGACAGGCAGTTATTTTTTGGAGAAGTTTGTATAGCCAATAACTTGTTTGATTTTCATTGTGTTTCTAACTCTAATTTAAGAGAAAATCCTATGTGATAAAAAATGCAGAAAGAACTAAGCGACCTACATTTTTTAGAATATTTGATAAAGCATAGTAATAACTGCCAGTTAAAACTTTGTTTCTAGTATTTAGTTTAGGTAACAGAGACAACGCAACGCTTGGAACAGAAAATACATACTTTTGATAATTCAGAAATTTTATACGTTTTATGCTCTAAAACTCACTGATCTTTTAATGACAGATTTTTTAACCTCTGAGTAAAGTTACGCGTAAGTATAATCTATAGCCTAATCAGCAAGTAGTTACTTTCGACTTTATTGAGAGGTAAAAAACCTGGCCTTTAATCTTAATATAATTGTGGAGGATGGAGACTACATTTACTAAGTATTAGGGAATAACGAAGATCTAACTACTATAATGACACTTGCTAAAAACTGTATAAGTTCTATGTACATGCAGATAGAACTATGTGAATAACTTTAGCTTCGATAACACAACATTGATAATTAACAGATGAACATATTGGTCACAAAAACAAATTAATTAATATATTCTACCAATCTCATTTTTTCCAAAAAGTACAGTTACAACCTTGTTATTCTTTGAGATGTATTTATTACTAATACTTATTAATAAAAATAATAATAATTGATATAAGTACTTACTGATCTTTGGAAACATATATACTCCAGTCCAGTGAGACTTCATTATTCTGGAACAATGCTATTTTGTAATTCCAATCACTATGTACCTATGGATTTGATTATAGTAGGTAATAAACTAAATGTTTATTGAATATCTTTAATCTGGGCAATGAAAATCACAAAACTCACTTTAAAAATAATAAGCTTCAATCTGAGTACTATAGTTAAGGTCCACTTCTTCATTTTATAATCAGTAACCCACTGTATTGCTGTTTTTGCCAAAGCCAAAGGTAATATTTGAGCACAAAACAAAATCAGCTGTTTTTTATAAACACCCCCATTTCACTTATTTTTTAGTAGCAAGTCTCTGGTAGCAACTTGTAACTTAATTGGAGCATACTTATTAAATCTTGAACACTTTTTTGGTCGTATAAACGCACACATCAGTGTAGCTTGTTTAAAAAAAAAACACTTATAAGCAACCATCAATAACAATAAACTTATTTGTTGACCATTAATTTTTTCATCTGTACTTCTTCTGATAGTTTTGTCATTTTTCATTTCATATAAACTCGAATTTTCACAATAAAAGAATTATTTTTATGATTGCACTTTTTCTGACAGATAAAAAGATTGCCGCAATTTTCCGCCGTAACGACACTAGCGAACCTAGCGGATTTTTGATCTAAGTACGACCGGTTTTGGTATGTTTTTTTCAGGGAGTTGAAACACCTTAATAGTACACCGTGGGTGCAATGAATAAAAACTAGTATTTGCCTAAACTAAGATAATTTTAAGTATATTCTATGTTTTATATGAATAAAGTTATAAAGAATATACTACCCCTAGTAAATATTAAGCTTACCAGAGAACTAGAATATTCTAAGCTTACCGAATAAATAAACATTAGTTTTTACTAACAAGCGGTAGTATATTCTTAATATTTTTCAAGCCAGAGGTATGACATACTACTTTTCAGTCAGTAGCTAACAAAATGGCGATGTTTATGCAAATTCGTGGCAGAAAGACATACCTTGAACGAAGAAAAATAATTGTAAACAGTTACTAAGGTTTGAGGATGAGAACATCGATTTTTTGACATCTGGGTTTTTGCCTGATCACCAAGAGACTCGAGGTAGAGTGTTTTATTTAAGATTTTATAGTTTTTGGGAAAGGGTTGATGGCTGAAGTATTCTAAATTTACAAGAAAACCTAAAATTACTTTTACAATTGAAACAATACCTATTATTCAGTATTACGAAATTTCAATTAGTACAAAATATTCAATTTTATAATATTCGTATGCCTTTTAAACTTAGGTAGCCATAGAATAGAAATGTTCAACAAATTCTGGTAAAAACACTATTCAAGTCGATTACCAGAACACATTGGACACATTCATAATATTAAAAAAACCTTTCGAACAGAATTAAAGAAAACATTTTATTGTGAATATAGTGCAGTTACTTGTATGATTATTATGTCAAAAAATATAAATATGAACATTGTTTCAGGTTTTCAGTGTGGAATTGCCAACGACGTAGGCGTTCATCAAAGCACTGTAGCTAAAACCATCCACTTTGTAATGAACAAAATAGTTGAAAAGGCTGATAAATGGATAAAATTTCCTTCAACTTTGGACTGTTATTGGAGCTTTAGACTGTACTCATGTAGAGATTAAAAAGCCTTTAGTACTTGGTGATGAATATATTAACAAGAAGGGCTATCCCAGATTCAGGTAACCTGCGATGCGGTTGAAAAATCACAAATATATCAGCTGAGTAGCCTGGTAGCGTTCATGATGCCAAAATCTGGAGGAGGAGCATCATAAGAAACAAAATTTCTTTTTATGATGGGGCTTTCTGTCTGTTATGTGATTCTGGATATGGACTCTCTCCGTGGCTTATAACTCCTTTCCAAGAACCAGGAAATCCATAAGAGAGATATTTCAACTTAACTCATTCCAGAGAAAGACTTATTATTGAAAGAGTTACAAAGCGCTTTTCTATTCTTGCCAATTGTGTTCGCGTGTCATTAGAAAACGTTGCTAGGGTTATTGTGTCATGCTCAGTGCTCCATAATGTGACAAAGCACCTGAATGACCAGTTAAATGACAATGGAAATGAAGATAAAGGTGGAAACAATGACAATCAATATCCAGATGGTCAACTCGAAAGTCGAGCCACACGTGAACAAGGAGACCTTAAACGAAGAAGCAGGTCTCAACATATTGCCCAAAGACGTTGTGAAAATTAAGACATTAATTTGTTAGTGAAATATAAGTTTCGTTTTATTTTCTTATTATTATTATTTTTTAGGACAGACAGTAACACTTATTAACAAAAAGTAAGAGGACAGAGAGTAATATTTATTAACAAAATGTAAGAGTAGGCTAAGTAACATCGAGTTAATTACAAACCTGTAAATACAATATATTTGTCACCTAAATCGCCATCAGTGTTGTTGACTGCTAGTGTGTTGGCATTTCCAAGCTGTTGAAGTTGCTCTAATTGCAGCTTTTCTTTTTCAAGTTGAACTTTGTTTAGTTGAAATTGCTGGAAAAGGACTAGACGTTAAAGTTCTGGCACAGACAAATCTTTTGTTACTTCAGTTTCATACCTGTTGAGTATGTCCTTTGTTTTTCGAATTTTAACTTTATCTTTTGAAGCTGTACTTTCCAATTTACCGTCAGTGTGAGTTGTAGGATTACTTTGGCTCTTTTTTGTTTCCATCTCCAATTGTCTCTTTACACCAACCGACAAGGCACCGGGCACTTTGCTGAATACAGGTTTTTCTTCTTTATTCATGATGGTTAATAAGTCCTTTTCCCAGTCTTTAAGTTTTATCACTTTGTTCCCCGTAGCTTTCAAAGCAGTTTTCATATTATTTAAGAATTTTTTCACCTACGCTACAGTTATTACCTTTCCTGTAACTTAACAAAATTTTCCTGTCAATAAAGTTAAAGCTTTAGTTTTCGATTCCATCACAAAAGGTTATTTAGATGTGTCTAACACAACTGGATATTTGTTTACTAAATTCACCAATAATGCCCTATCAGCGCTTTTGATCACCTCATCAACTTGTTCATCAAACTCTTTATCAGATATCATGTCAACAACACGTGCTTACTCCTCACTTGCGAAAAGTAAACTATACGTCCTCACTTGCAGACAGATAAAACAGAAGTGAGCTAGAGAAGCAACAAACAAGGTCACTGTTACCCTAATTTTGTATTGAGACTTGAAAGCGCGGCATCTAAGTATTTACTAGGGCTTTGTTTATTCTGAACGGTTAGAATATACTAACTTGTCACTGGTAAGCCCTAGTATAAACGAACTACTTTTGGCAACTTGTTATTCATACGAAATTGAGAATGAGATAAAACTGGTTAGAAAATACTACCTAGAATATTCTAGTTTTATTCATTCCACTCATGGTATCCAGTTTTGGGGCTGCGCCAGTAAAAGTAACATATAAATTATTTATCGTTTTCAGAATAAAGTAGTAGCTCATTAGCGCCTAGCGTCACGACATGGGCTCATTACGCGCCATGCTTTTCAGATGCTTGGTGGGAATAGTTAAACGCAACGTGATTTAAGACCCTTCCTTTCGTTTGTTTATGACCCAGTGTACTGTATTTATTTACTTTGTAAGACGCTGTTTGTGCAAAGTTTTTTTACAATTGAAAGATGGCAGACAATAATTTTATGGAAGTATAATAATTTCCTATGGTTTAAAAATAATTCCATTATAATCGCTTTTTAATAGAACTAAACCATGGTCCTAATTAATAAAAATAGCGGAAGTTTCGGAGTTATAGAACCTCCAGAGAGCCACGTGCTAACTGACGAGGACTCCACTGATGAAGACGGGGGTGGTTTGGCTGACAATCTGAGCTTCCGAATGCTTACTGATGGGGCCGAAGTACGTTTTACGAATTCTTGGAAATTTGACGGAGTGGCGGATGATTTAAACTTTAATTTCCACCATAAAACTGCGGCGGGCATAAGCAGCAACGGTACCTTGATGCAGTAAAATTTAGAAAATATACCTATTAGTAATTCTAAACAAACGAAAAATATTACAATGAAACTTGACAAAGTCCCACCTAATCCTAAATTTTTTGATGGAGACTTAATAATTACTAAGGCATTATTTTCCAAATAATAATTACGATATCTACAAAAATATTAGTTATAATGAACTATTTGAACTTTTTTTACTGATGACTTATTACAACTTAATTCTGAGCTGATAACAAATTACGCAGTTTTTTGAAATTGTCCTGATCCGCAGTACAATAAAAATATGGGTGGAACTGACTTGATGAACGAGGAAATAGCAAAGTAAGTTTTCTCTAAAACTTTGGAAGACTTCTTTTTTATGAAGATAAAATATCAGGTACATTTCTCACTGGTTCACCTTTTGACCTAATGGCCTAATTCTATTCAACAACTTATTTAATTGTACATATGATTCCTTAGGCATTGTTGAAAATGAATCTAATCCCTCTTAATGTGTGTAAGTTATTATGTTTTTATTATTAAACCTTTCGTAATTTCCATATACGCTATTAGCTTCGCTGCTGCCCCTATCAAAGCGTGTTGTAAGTAGATAAATTTATTATAAGACTTGTAAAATTTTGGGATTTTTACTAGCGCAAGTTGTATTTCTGCAATAATTTCTCTATATAGCCCACCCTGAGATCTTGCCGCGATATTTTATTTATAACTGCTTTCCTTCCACATAAAAGTTTTGATGTATTTCGGCAAAAATTTAGAATTCATGACACCAAGTTGTCTAATATATCGTTTTAGGCATAACCAATAACTCTCCACCTGTCTCGGGATCTCGAAAATATTTTGAATGGTTAACTGTTTTATAGATATAACCAATGTTTTTCAATTGATTTTATCCATTCCATTGGTCAGTACAAATTTCAGATTCTGGACGAACAATGCTGCGAATTATTGGTATCAAAGTTGTTTGTTTTATTTTTTTGCATAATGTAATAGATTCCGACAATCCATTTTTTCGAAATTAGTTACGTGAAAACTATTGCCATGGCAACCGTTGCCATGGTAACCAGTAATCAAAAAGCCAAATCTCGTGTCGAGGAAATGCGTGGTTGCCAGGTAACGGATGATTTAATTCAGCTGAAATCAGTTACGCAGGAGTTACGGAGAAACTGTTGCCATAGAGATACTTGTCATGGAAACGACTAGACAAAAAACCCAAATATTCTGGTAAGGAAATTTATAGTCACAGGTCATTTTCACATTGGTTGAAATCGAGTTACGGAGAAACCGTTGCCATAGGAAAACTTGTCGTGGAGTTGACCAAACAAAAACATAAATCCGGTAGTAAGGCAATGCGTAGTCGTCTCGTAAATTTAGATTAACTCCTAACATATCCTAATCTAAACCGAAGTGAAAATAAAACCATCTATAACTTGACAGCTAGGCATTACCTCACTACGGGATTTGTTTAGGTTTTTGTTCAGTCGTTAACGTGACAAGCGTTTCCATGGCAACAGTTTTTCCTAAAGATCACGCTACGCTCCTACCACCCACCTTCTAACCACTATAGAGGAGAGCAAGCAAAGCAAAGCAATTACATCATAAGATCACGCTACGCTCTTATTACATACTTCCTAACTGCTACAGAGGAAAGCGAGAAAATCGAGAGCGTCCTGTTGATATTTCGAAACTTGCGCACGCGAATTTCGAAGCCGTTTTTCAACTTACATCATAAGATCACGCTATGCACAGATTTTGGCTAAACGAAATTTGAGTCTAATCATAAATTCATAAAAATTACCTAAAATAAACTGATCATTTTCTTTGATCAGTTTCCAGCTTATAACATCCCGAATGTATCTGCTGCACCACTCTTTTTCTAGTTTCTCCCAATATTTCTGCTGAAGAAACTATCCTTGGTTGGCATGCCCAGCACCAAAACAATAAAATTGTATCTCACCGAACTTTTTATTTATTCAAAAAATGAATTTTTAAAGTTCTACATTTTGGCCAATAAAAAACTGTATTCAAATTGTTTGCTCCTTTTTTTGTCTGGCCTTACAAACTCGTCTGCAAGATCTTCTCTTGCAATGAAAATTTGACTTTATTAAATCAATATCTTGTATTTTACCAAATCAGCATCATTCTTATTAATAATTTGATTAGTACCATTAATACTATTCACTTCCATAATTTTGATTATTAAAAAAACACAATAAATGATTCAAGGCAAAATTGTGAATGACATTCACAATTATTTATTTATTTATTTATTTATTTATTTATTTATTTATTTATTTATTTATTTATTTATTTACGGGCAAAGCCCAATTCAGTTTACATACAATAAAATAGAATAGTGATATCATAAAAATTAAGTAAAATATAGAATAAAATGGTTAGATAAAACAGTGGACATTAATGTACAGAACAGCAAATAAATTATAATGTGTTAAATGAAAACTATGGAATTTCTTGGGACGTTCAAATATTCAATGTAAGTAAGTGGTTCTTAAATCCTTGAACAGAACTGTTAAAAAGTCGAATATCATGAAGAGAGTTAGCTAGTCTAAGTGTTCTAGGAATAAAAGTATTAAACGCATAATTGTAACGGTGAAAAGGTACATGGAATGTTTGAATTTATCAAGTAGTACGTGAAGGCACAAAAATATTAATTCTAGAAAGGAGGTCGGGGCAATTACACCTGCCATTGATAATATTGGACAGTATTGTAAAATCTTTTCGTTTCCTACGAACTTCCAGAGAAGGTATGTTTAAATATTGTTGCAATTCCGCATAATTGTAATAAATGTTAAACTTGAATGCTATGTATCTAAGAAAATTATTTTGAACTCCATCCAGTTTACTTTTATGAATTAAGTAGTGTGGGAACCAGACTGAGGAGCAATAATCAAGTTGTGTCCTAACTAAAGAGAAGTATAGCATTTTAATTGTGTTTATATTAGTGCACTCTTGAGTTGTCCTCTTGACAAATTCCAGCATTTTCATTGATTTTTGAACTGTAGCAGTGATATGGCCATTAAAGCTCATGGAAGAGTCAAAGGTGATCCCTAGATCCTTGATTTGATCGACATGTTGAAATAAACTATAATTATAAGTTATTAGATTATAGCTGCGACAAAATCGGATAATGTGACATTTGTTAGTATTTAGATTCATGCCATTACTAGAGCACCAACTTTCTAGTTTATTTAAATCCAACTGCAAAATCTGAGTGTCGGCATAGTCATGAATGATCTTGAAGCATTTCAAGTCATCTACAAACAATAGGGCTTTAGTGTTAGGAAAGCAAGTTATGATTTCATTAATAAACAGGTTGTATAGTAGCGGTCCTAAGTGAGACCCTTGAGGAACACCCGAAGTAACTGGAAAAATTTGGGAATAATGATGATTTACTCGAACCTGTTGAGTTTTATTTGTTAGATAACTACCGAGCCATTGTAAGACAATCCCATCAATACCATATAAATTTAGCTTATGAACGAGAAGATCATGGTTCACCTTGTCAAAGGCCTTGGAAAAGTCTGTATCTACCTGTAGACCCTTCTCCAAAACTTCAAACAGAAAGTTAGCATATGTTAATAAGCTTAGTTCAGCAGATTTGCCTGGCGAAAAACCAAATTGTTGGGAGTTTAAGATATTGGAGCAGTCGTGAGTTAGAAAATCAGTTATTATACTTTCAAAGATTTTTGGGATTGTGCTTAGGATGGAAATGGGGCGATAATTTATTACATTAGATTTGTTACCCGATTTGTAAATGGGAGTAACACAAGAGAATTTTCAAAAGTCAGGAAATTCACCTGTGCTCAGTGATTTGTTAAAGATATGAAAAAGTGGCCTAG